TATATTTAGAAAACATCATAACTGTCAAAGCATAAACCCACTTCTGCACTAAAAATATGTCGGGCCCATAAGTGGTTTATCTTTTTCTAAGCATGATTGTAACTAGCTTATACCATAGTGCTCCTGTCTGTGGCTTATGTTTTCCTTGTTTCAACCACCCATGGTCAGCTATGGTCCTAAATATTAAGTGGAAAAATCCAGACATAAACAGTAAGTTTTCAGTTATCGAGTACTCTGAATAGCGCGATGAACTCTCTGTCCTCTTTCTGCGAGTTGGCTCAGTAGCCATCTTGGTTTTTACATCATCAGTCATGATTGGCAATGTTTGTGTCCCAGTAACCTTTAGTTCACTTAACAATGCAAGAGTAATCCAAAGGAGGAACTGGGGCATGAAACATGGGACAAATTTATACTGTGCTCTGCAGCAATATTGCAGGGCATATGGGGGGGGCACTGTAACAGGTATAGGATTCTGCTTCAGCATCCTTTCATGGCCTTGAATATACCCCTGCTGTGTTTGTAACACAGTTTTGATCATGCTTTAACAAGTTGTCACCACATGACTAAGAGCGGATCATGTAACCCAGTACACTGAGTGGGTTTTATATTATAACATTTGATTCAGGTTGTATTTAAACCAACTTAAATTTGGATCTAGAGAACCTTTACCCAAGTATTTCCAACATATACGTTTATACAACTTCAAAAACATACTCTAAAAGCCAAAGCTTTCGCAATAAGTCTACTATTTAATGCTGAAATATTTTGAATTAGAGAACTATTTGAAGAGAGAAGGGAGTCTGTGAAAAACATTCCCAGCAGGACTTGACAGGAAAGAAAAAGCTACTCTTTTGTATTTTACTGTATCTCAAACTTTTGACTGGAAGTGGTTCATCTAGTTAACTGTTCATTAGAAATGGGGAGGGGAGGTTAGTCAAGATTAATTGATGGCAAGCAACTATAACTCAACCAGTATACCAATGCTAACTGGAAATATCAAGTGCTTCGGTCATTTAAGAAACCACACACACACTAGTGTTGTATACATACATGCTTACATGTCATTATTTTCTCTATTGCTATATGTGTCATATATGTTTTCTGGCTTTTCTGGTTTTAAGACTTAGCCAGATGCATCTGGCAGCTTTCTAAATGCCTCGTTTTCTCTGATTAGTTTACCCACACCTAACAGAACGGGCCCTCCTGAGGAGACAGTTCCCTATTCACAGCAAGAGATGTAAGAGTTCAGCACAATAGATTTCCAACATGCTCAGGGGAGGCCGGGAGCTACAGTCTGAGCACCGTGTGGAAAGACAGAGAAATGCACAGAGAAAGAACCCAGCCAAGCAGATTAGAGTAACGGGATCTGTGATGCTTTTTCTCTCAGATGCAACCAAAGCCAACCTCTGCGAACAAATCAGCCCACAGAGCAGCAAGAATGGAGAGAAGGGGACAGGGATCTATCTGGAAGTGACCTGGGTTTATTTTCTTACTAAAAGTGACCGCAGAATGCTATTTGGACATCTGAATATTAGTTCTCATGAAGTATATAACAGAACAGGTTTTTTTTCTTTATTTCTTCTAATATTATTTTAGAATGGCTATCAGAAGTAGACCTGTTTAGATTTTCAGCTAGCCTTTGGATGCTAGAGAGAGATTGTTTAATAAGCCCTGGAAGCATTCTGTGCCAAGCAGGGTTGGTGGTGGTGGTGGTGGTGGTGGTGGTTTCCCAGAGGGTATTCCTGCTTTGGGGTTACAAGAATTTACTGATGCCTTGGCTAAATTTGCTTTCTTTTCTTTCTTGGGATCATTAATTAGTTTATTTCTCTTTCCATTTGGCTTTTGTCTCCAGATCTGCCTCCAGATTTACATAGGACATGCTCAGCAACAAAGTATTCGGAGATACTTTATTTTTCCATTTTAGAGTATGTGTTCTGGTTAAACACACAAATTAAAACCCCCTTCACCTTACCTTACTCAAAAGTTAAAAAGAAATATGTTCCTTGCAATAGAAACATTTTTACAACAACAAAAAAAATCACAATTTTGGAAATCAGAAATTAGATTTTATTTGCAGAAGATACTCTCCATACTTTCTTAATGATCCTGTAAAATCCCTTTTGTACAACCAGTTTCACCTTTTGAATATTAACCCTCAGGTCCCCTAAATGGTTAATGTTTTAAGCCTGTGCCTTGGGGTTATCGAAGTCACAGGTTCTGTTTTAAATTAAACACTTAATTATAAAGAATTATAATTATGAATGGCTTCTTCATAAAGAGCAATGTGTATGAATCAGAGTGGAATAACAGGGTCTCTACATATGTTCCCCTTTTATACAGTTTTAGAACACCGTCTGGGTTGAGGGTGGGGCGTGGCCTAAGATTTATCAATGAACCCAGCTGTAGGCAGGTATTTTTGCTGAGTATGCAAATCGGTCGCCACTCTGAGCTGCGTGTTTTGGTGCAAGAGAACATAGCAGTTGGCATCTGCTAGATGCCATTTCCTAGAAATGCTCCACGAAGCACCGCGCCCTCCCGGGTCGTGTTGCAGCTCTCACTAACATTACGTTACTTCCTTCTGCCAAGGATCTAACTCCATCCAGACTAGAAGAAAAAAAAAAAGTCTCAACCTTTGGGTGAAAAGTGAGTGCTTTCAGAAAAATCCCATAAAAAAAAAAAAAAGAAAGAAAGAAAGACTCAACATATAATGGGGCTTTTAACGGCTTCCTACGCCATTTTTCTTCTTCTTCAGGTTGGAGGTTACAAGGTACTTTTAAAAATGGTTTTAACACTTGCTGGTCACTGAGAAGATTAAAGGCATAAACTGCTGAGGCTGGGTGGCAAGGCTGCTACCAAAGGCTTCACACCGCCGTTATACCAATGCCTTCTTTCCATTTCTCTGCATTCAGAAGCTTACAAACAAGATTTGAAATGTTCGCGATTCATCCAGACCCAGAGCGGAGCCAGCGCATATCACATTCCATCAGAGTGAGGTGGAGGGCTCAGTGCCCTCTGGCCTCAGGAAAGTTATTGCACATTTCTCTTTCCCATCTGTAAAGTGGGGATAAAACATAGCTTTGGAGAATACGGCTTGACAAGGGTGAATGAATAAAATTGTAGCTTCAAACGGTTGGAAGTTAGACCGAATTTTAGTGGAGAAAAAAAAAAAAGTACCTTTAACCCCCTGCGAGCTTCCATAGTCGCAGGAAGAATGAAAGGAAGCCCTCCACTCTTTTGCTCTGAACGAATTGAGCAACGATCGTTTGCGTTAAAAACGTGTACACAATTCTATCACAAAAGCTGTGGTGTAACCTAGTTTAATGCAAATGAAAAACTGTGCATGGAAGTACTTGTTAAAATAGAAAGCATTACCCTTGTAATGATGCTAGTACTAGCACTAAGTACTTACCTAATACTCAGCAGCGTAAAGCAAACCTTGGGCTATAGAAGCGTTGACCTCCATTTTATAGATGATTAACTCGAGGCAGAGACGCTGTCACTAGACTTGCTACACCACCCAGCCAGGGAGGGAGAGCACAGACGAGCTCCGAGATCAACTGACTTCTAAGTCTCTGCACATTGTCCACAGCAAGCAAGGGCTGACAGTAATCTGCCTTTTCCTTTCTGATTGGCAATTTATACCTCCCAAAATGTCAGGTTATTATGCATTAGAAAGCCGAAGGGTGGCTTGTTTTGTTCAAAAGGGGGCTCTTCTTCTAAGTTGCTTTTCTTGTGCAGAACTTTTTTTAATTTTTATTTTATTTACTTATTCATTATTATCATTATTTTGTTTTGTCTTATTTTTAAGGGTTTTACGTAGCCCGGGCTGCCTTTGAACTCACTACATAGCCAGTACTAGCCTTGAACACCCAATCCTCCTGTCTCCGCCTTCCAAATGCTGGATTTACAGTTGCAGGAAGTAAATATCGTACCCTAAAAGAAAATTTTCATATTTTGTTCCTCGTGTGAGGGTAATAAAGATTATACACGCCACATGAAAAAAACTCACTAATAGTTCAATCTTGAAGGTTTAGTAATTATCACTTAACAATAATTACATGTAGGGACAGTGATGTCACAGAGAAAGTGGAGGTACTTGCTGCTAAGCCTGAAGACCTGAGTTCAACACCAGCTCCCAGGAAAAAGAGAAACAACCCACAGGAGTTTTCCTCTGTCCTCCACTTGAGTGACATGACTTGAACACGCACACACACTAAAAATAATTTAATTTAAATGAAAAGATATTTGCAGGCTGGAGAGATGGCTCAGTGGTTCAGAACACTGACTGTTCTTCCAGAAGTCCTGAGTTCAATTCCCAGCAACCACACGGTGGCTCACAACCATCTGTAATGGGATCCGATGCCCTCTTCTGGTGCGTCTGAAGACAACTACTCATATACATAACATAAACAGATAAACATTTTTTTAAAAAAAAAAGAAAGAAGGAAAAGGGATTTGTACTTACATCTATGACACCAGAAAACATTACTGGCGGCCACGCTTTGTACTCAGATCAATAGACACTTGTCAATTCTACGCATAATCTTTTTCTAATCTAAACTGTTGCTGGTGTAAAAATGACAGGCATATGAATTACCAAATACTTTACTGGATAATTCTAGTTAAGAGTTTATAAGACCCAAGGTTACAGGAGTGACTAAGTGCTCAAGTCCTTGACTTTTAATCTCCACACTGGAGCAAAGGAATGCAACTTATAAAACCCCTATTTTTCAAACATGCTTTTCTGTTCTGTTTGTTTTTATTTACTTGAAACAGGGTCTTGTCTAGGTTATGCTGATCTGGAACTCTCAGTGGTCCTGCCTCAGTGTCAGAGGTATGAATTAAAGGTATTGCCACCATACCTGGCTCCAAAGATACATCTTAATACTTTCTTATGGTAGTGATTCATTCACTCCATTACCCAGTTACGAGATAAAGGAATACCAGAAAAGGGGATAAAACTAACTATGTTAATTTCTTTGGAATTTAAGCAGACAAATACACTCCCCCTGGCAGCACATACTCTAAAATTGGAGCAATACAGAAAAGATTAGCATGGACCCTGTGCAAAGATGATATGAAGAATCATGAAGTGTTCCATATTTTTCTTTAAGGGGTGGGGGGAGGTTAAGACAGATGAAAGACCACCCCAACTACTTAAGGCTACTCCTTAACTTCAAAAACCATTTTTGAGAAAACCTAATGTGTAAATATCCACCACTACAGTCTATGCTTCAGAGGCTTGTAATTAATTTGGTGGCAGAAGATTTTTAGGAAGAACTCAAAAACACATCACTACAGCAACCCGATTCTTACTGGTTTGATGAGCTGTGATCACCAAGCCTCGCATGACAGTGCCAGAGAAATACTTTCTTGATATCAAAATATTTTCCTCATTCTGCCATTACACTTAGTCTGAAGTCATTTTTTTCAAAGATTCAGAGCTGTGTTTTGAAGAAACTTGGTGTGAACTTTGCTAACAATGATCTAAATACATTTTTTGGATTACTCTCCGGAGAAATTGCAGCATTTCACACAAGCGGTACCCACTTTACTCTGGTGAAATGAAAATCTCTATTCTGCTCTTCTTTGCATGACTCTTTAAAACCTAAACCAGAAGAATGGATCTCGCTTGGGGACGGTTTCTTTTTTAATCTTCTTGGGTCTTCCACTCTGTTTCTAAAGCGATACTTAGTGTTAACTAGGTTGCAATTTCATTTGAAAGGAATTGAACAGGCTTTCCAGGATGGGGTAAAGATTGCCCACTGAGAGTATTTTGGCAGCTACCTTTAAACATGCAAGGATCTGTGAAGATAGCACAACTAGATTTAATACAGATAATGTTTGGTTCTTTGAGATAGAGATGATGTAATTCCGATATTGGAAAAAAAAAGATGCATAAGACATATTTTTCTCTCTTTGGATAAGCACAGTTTTCTCTGTAGTGTTTTATTATACTGAGAGTGTGAAAGATTTTAGGGAATTTTTCACATGATAATAGAAACATCTGGTTTTATTTTGAATTCAAATGGTTAACTGTGTACAATAGCATTTTGTGAAGCTTATAATTGGAATGTGAAAATCAAGGCATATGGCAAAATTTATCAGCACATCATTTTTATGAAATGAGGAGAAAGTACTAGGCTCCTCGTTTTATAAATGAAAATTAAAACGTGGATCAATCAAGCTAAGAAATGTCAATTTTTTTCTTAAAAAAGAAGTAAAATAAATGGTTTACATGTGCTGAGCCCTGTCCTATTTTACAAAAATTGTTTGAGTAATTCTGTATAACATACATACACAGAAAAAAAGAAGTTTTATAATGCACTCAGTATCACGAACAGAAGTCTACAAAAATGTACAATATTGACACCTAAGTGTTCTTTGCTCAAGAGCTAAGGAAACAATGAAAAGCGTGAGTTTCTTTTCCACTCTGACTACCAAAATTTAGAGCTTTCCAGTACATGCTAAATATATATTTGCATGTATTTATCAAGTCTCTTCTATGAGCTAGACACTGGATCAAAAGTATCCGGCAGTCTGCTCTCCAGCAATCACCCCTTAAAGACAAACACTAAATGCTGAACAAGGCTACAGACTAACAATGTAGCTAGTTCTTTTTTGAGCACATATATAACATGTAACCGAGCACTTTATGTATCTACCAAGTAACCTTCCTGAAATCCAAGATATATACTCTAAAGCAGTGGTTTTCAAACTTTCCTAATACTGCGACTCTTTAATACAGTTTCTCATGTTGTGGTGATCCTCAACCAAAAAATTACTTCAAAACTGTAATTTTGTTGCTGTCGTGAATCGTAATGTAAATTATCTGTTTATATGGTCTTTGGTGACCCTTGTGAAAAGACTGTTCAACACTCACCCCACTCCCCCAAAAGGAGTCATTTCCCACAGGTTGAGAACTGCTGCGAAAGAGTAGTGTTGAATGGTCTAGAGGAAGAAAATGGTTTACTTTGCCCAACAAGGTCCCACGTTTGAATGGAGTCAACTAACTGATAACTAACTGAGTCAGCAGGAGAGGGAGAGCACACATTCTTCCCAAATGACTCTCAATCTCTTGTAACCACAGAGGTTTATTTTTTGCTCAAAAACCTGTTTAGGTTGACTCAGGAGACTGCTTCTCCACATCTAAGATCCAGGCTTGTAGATCTTCCCCATGGTGGGGACAGCACTAGAGTAAGAAAGAGGATTCAACAATGGACAAATGGGACCTCATAAAATTGCAAAGCTTTTGTAAGGCAAAGAACACTGTCAATAGGATAAAATGGCAATCAACAGGTTTGGAAAAGATCTTTACCAATCCTACATCTGATAGAGGGCTAATATCCAATACATACAAAGAACTCAAGAAGTTAGACTCCAGAGAATCAAATAACCTTATTAAAAATGGGATACAAGCCGGGTGGTGGTGGCACACACCTTTAATCCCAGCACTTGAGAGGCAGAGGCAGGTGGATTTCTAAGTTCGAGGCCAGCCTGGTCTACTGAGTGAGTTCCAGGACAGCCAGGGCTATACAGAGAAACCCTGTCTCGAAAAATAAAATAAAATTAAATAAAATAAAACAAAACAAAATAAAATATGGGGTACAGAGCTAAACAAAGAATTCTCAACTGAGGAAACTCAAATGGCTGAGAAGCACCTACAGAAATTTTCAACATCCTTAGTCATCGGGAAAATGCAAATCAAAACAACCCTGAGATTCTACCTCACACCAGTCAGAATGGCTAAGATCAAAAACTCAGGTGATAGCAGATGCTGGCAAGGATGTGGAGAAAGAGGAGCAGTCCCCCATTGTTGGTGGGATTGCAAACTGGTACAACCACTCTGGAAATCAGTCTGGTGGTTCCTCAGAAAATTGGACATAGCATTACCTGAGGACCCAGCTATACCACTCCTGGGCATATACCCTAAAGATGCTCTAACATATAACAAGGACACGTGCTCCACTATGTTCATAGCAGCCTTATTTATAATAGCCAGAAGCTGGAAAGAACCCAGATGTCCTTCAACAGAGGAATAGATACAGAAAATGTAGTACCTTTACACAATGGAGTACTACTCAGCTATTAAGAACAATGAAATAGAGAAATTCTTAGGCAAATAGATGGAACTAGAAAATACCATCCTGAGTGAGGTAACCCAATCACAAAAGAACACACATGGTATGTACTCACTGATAAGTGGTTATTAGCCCAAAAGCTTGAGATACCCAAGATACAATTCACAGACCACATGAAGCTCAAGAAGAAGGAAGATACTTCATCCCTTCTTAGAAGGGGGAACAAAATACTCATGGGAGGAAATACAGAGAAAAAATGTGGAGCTGAGACTGAAGGAAAGGCCATCCAAAGACTGCCCCACCTGGGGATGCATCATATATACAGTCACCAAACCCAGATACTATTGTGGATGCCAAGAAATGCTTGCTGGAGCTATATCACAGGAGCATGATATAGCTGCCTCCTGAAGGTTCTGCCAGAGTCTGACAAATACAGAGGTGGATGCTCTCAGACAACCTTTGGACTGAGCACAGGGTCCCCAATGGAGGAGTTAGAGAAAGTACTGAAGGAGCTGAAGGGGTTTGCAACCCCATAGAAAGAACAATATCAGTCAACCAGATGCCCCAGAGCTCCCAGGGACTCAACCACCAACCAAAGTGTACACATGGAGCAACCCATGGCTCCAGCTGCAGATGTAACTGAGGATGGCCTTGTCGGACATCAATGGGAGAAGAGGCCCTTGGTCCTATGAAGGCTCGATGACCCAGTGTAGGGGAATGCCAGGGCGGGGAGGCAGGAGTGAATGGGTGGGCAGGGGAACACCCTCATAGAAGCAGGAGGAGAGAGGTGGAATAAGGGGGTTCTGGAGGGGAAACTGGGAAAGGGGATAACATTTGAAATGTAAATAAAGAAAATATCCAATAAAAGAAAAAATATGAAGAAAGAAAGAAAGAAAGAAAGAAAGAAAGAAAGAAAGAAAGAAAGGAAGGAAGGAAGGAAGAAAAGGGATTCACCTTCAGCTGTGGGACTGAAAAGGTTAGTTTCTTGTGGAAATCCTCCCTTAGTGCCTAAAACATCACTCACAGTACTTTACAGTATGAGTTGCTTCAATATAGTCACTTACTTTGAAAGGATGGAAAATTTTAACTTGGCCCCAAAAACTCAGCTTGGGGCTCTCTGGCCCAGTTGGAGTAAGAAAAACAGGAACTCCACCTCCCACATTCCATGAAGCTAGCTAACCATAAGAGCAGATGGTCCAGGTAAACAGTTCTAAGAAAAACAGGTATAGAGAACATGTGAGCCCCTGACCCTGAACCTGCTGTCATGCTGAGATAGTGCCTGCCAATTTTAAAGGAGCCAATGAGAATGCTGTGTTTCCCTACCCTCTTGGTTGTGTTTTTACCCTATAAAAGCTGAAGTTTTTTTACTGCTTGGGGCCAATCTCCTCTACCCCTGAGTGGGACACGAGTGAAGCCCCAGCACACTGGTTTGAATAAATCCTCTTGCTGTTTGCATCAAGACGTGTTTCTCATGAGTGATTTGGGGTGAAATTGCATCGCCCGTCGAGCAGTGGGGTCCTCACTCTGAGGGTCTTACAACTTCATGGTAGATTATTTATTCAAAACCAGAAAGATAGAGTGTCTCTCACCTTGTGGAAAATGCAGTTCCTCTTTTAAAGTCTTTTCACCTGTAAAATCAAGCCCATCCTGATTATCATTTGATTGGACTTAAAACCAATTGATCTGGGGTATTAGCTACATCTAAAGAACACAGTCATAGGCCCCACCCACATTTAAGGCAAAGAAATATCACAAGTCATGACCACCAAGGGGTAGGAAACCAAGTCATCCAACAGTCCCCTCAATAGAATCCATAAAAGGACTCAGAATAAGAGAAACTTGGACACGTTTTCAAGCCAGCACGCACACACACACACACACACACACATGCACACAAATACTTTAATTACAAAGTGGCTTTTATAAAACCAAAACATTATCATTATTGTCCTTCACTTCTATCTGTTTAGAACTACACTCTAATACACCCAACGTAAATATTTTTAAATGGCTTGTTTTCCGCCTG